GCAGGGTGTAGCGCCGATTCGCAAGAGCCGACAAGATGCCACGGGAGGCTCTTCCGAGCCCTCCCCCTCGTCCGACGCGAGTTTGGCGCCGCCCCGCCAGGGACGACCTGGCGCCCCCGAGGCCCCGCGCGGGGGCGGCGGCGCCCTCGAGGCCGCGGCCGCAGGTGCGGGCAAGATGAACTTCCATATCCGGTGGAGGAGGAGGAGGAGGAGGGGGAGGAGCAGGAGGAGGAGGAGGAAGAGGAGGAAGAGGAGGAGGAGGAGGAGGAGGAGGAGGAGGAGGGGGAGGAGGGGGGGAGGAGGAGGAGGAGGTGGACGATTTCCCCCGGGGCCGTAGGCGACCCGAGGAGGGGAGGGCGAGAAGGGAAGAGGAGGAGGAGGAGGAGGAGGAAGACGAGGAGGAGGAGGAGGAGGAGGAGGAGGAGGAGGAGGAGGAGGGGGAGGATCAGGAGGAGGAGGAGGAGGAGGAATCTTGGACTTGCAGGGCCGAGGCGCACTGGATATGGATGCGCACATCGAGTCTCCGTGGGTGCAGAGGTCTTGATTCACATCCAGTGCGCCACTGGCTGTACGGAGTGGAGCCCAGAATTCCAGGCTGCAGCGCATTCAGGGGCAACCATAGGGGGGGATAGGCATATGGGTGATGCATCGCCCCCCAATCGCCCATTGATCGCCGATTGGGGCCCGATAGCCCCAGCCTGCCCAGGAAGGTGCGGATTCACGATCAGGGGCACATCGCCGATCTGTCGGCGACGTATCGCCGATGCCATGTCGATGCATCCCACCCTATGCCATACCCCCCCTATCGTTGCCCCTCGTGGATGTAAACAGAAGTCACTCGCCCGCCGCAGGCCACGGGCAGCGCGCCCGGCGAGGCCGCGGCATTCGCGACCGCGGCCGCCAGCGCCATCGGCGGCCTCGTCGGCGGTGCGCGGGCCGCGCACACTCGGAGCGGGCCGGGGGTCGGAGGAGGAAAATCAGGGTGGCTTCGCGTCGTGTCGGCCACCGCCGTGATTACTAAGGTGATCGGGGGGGTATAGGTGGATGCCAAGGTGGTCTATGCATGGTTTCACACAGCTTAATTACACGTTGGTCAGAAGTCGCCTACGTGTCTCACGGCGGTAGAGATCTGGGCGAAGTGGCTCCGCCCACGTGACGGAGTTATCGAACACACCCACGCCGTTTAGGGCACTTATAGCCCACTTCTAAGATGGGCGGCGCACACTCGGAGCGGGCTGGGGTTTAGTCGGGCAGGTCCCTCTACAAGAGGAGTATGCAAAAACAGTCAAGAAATAGTCTAGGGACGATTGTTCGACTATTTTTAAACCATGTCTGAATATTTGCTGGTTACTTGTCATTTTTCTTCGACAACCTGCCTGTAGGGGACATGCCCGACCGAAGGCCGGGGATCAGAGGAGGAGCGGGTACGGTGGGTTCGCGTCGTGTCGACCAGCGGCGACCCCGCCGCCAGCCATCAACGTGGTACGCCGCCGGCGACCCAGAATCGGTCGATGTTGAACGACCTGACGTTTCGGAAGCGGCCAGTCGTGCAAGGTTGAACGAGACCCGCGGTGTCAGGGACCCACGCCGGGGTCGGCACGACACGAACCCGCGGTGCCCATACCGCTGCCCTTCGCCCGTTTCCTCCTTCTTGGCCTCCTGGGCGGCCCGCGTCGCCACCGCTGGTTGCGCCTCGAAATCGATTGGGCAGGACGCTCCCCGGGAGAGGTCCGGGGAGTAGCGGCAGGATTTCCCCACGCTCGGAGCGGGCTGGGGGCTCCCGGAGGGATATGTGTCCGGGAAACGTAAGACTCGAGAACGCCGGAGTTCGGGTTGGCCGACGCTTCTGGACGAGCGCGTCCTGGAGCTTGACGGTCCAGTTTCCGTGGGAGGTCTGCAGCGGATCGAGGCTCGCGCCGATCAAGTTTCAGGCTGCGTCTCGTCACTTTCAAGGTGGCCCCGTCGAGACGGCCCGAGCTCCCGAACCCGAGAGTCCCGCGTCGCCCCGAACGTGCCGCGCCCGCCCCTGGATTTTTGCCGCCCCTGTCGCCGCCCCTGACGGTCGCCCTGGGCGGAGAGCGCTCTGGGCGGAGCGCTCCACGCGGCGTCGGAGGCCAGAGAGCACGTCGAAAGATGGTCGCGGGCCCGACGATGGGGCGTGCTGAGGGTCTCGGAACGGGCTGAGGATCTCGGACCCCCCCTGCCTTACTCGGCCCCCCGTGGAAAACCGGACCCCCCTCCAAATGCGAGCTAACATCCCGGACCCCCTCCTTCGACAGGGGGCGCCTTGATAAGCCGGACCCCCGAGCTCCAATCCAAAGCAGGCGCCCTAATATAAACCAGAGCCAGACCCCCCCAGTTACAAAGAGGGCTGAGGATCTCGGACCCCCCCTGCCTTACTCGGCCCCCCGTGGAAGACCGGACCCCCCTCCACATGCGAGCTGACATCCCGGACCCCCTTCTTCGACAGGGGGCGCCTTAATATAAGCCGGACCCCCAAGCTCCCATCCAAAAAAAAGCGCCCTGATAAACCAGAACCAGACCCCCCGCAGTTACAAAGAAGGCGCCTCAAAAGACCGGACCCGGGGGATGCCTCATAAGGGATCTTGGAGCACCCGATAAAAAAAAAAAAAAAAAAAAAAAAAAAAAAAAAAAAAAAAAAAAAAAAAAAAAAAAAAAAAAAAAAAAAAAAAAAACATCGTCGGAAGCTTGCGCCCTCGGGGCGCCCGGCGCCCAGGTGCCTGGGCGGCCGTCAGCAGCGCCGCCGGCGCGCCGGCGGGCGCCGGCGGCGCCAAGGGCGGGCCACGGCAGCGGGAGCGCAGCCGCACGCCCTTCGAGCGCGACGCGCAGCTGGGCGCCAAGGCCGCAGCGGGGCCCCCAAGCCAGGGAGGCCCCCGGCAGCCGAAGTTTCGGGCAGGTCCCTCGGCAGGAGGAGCAGTCGAGGACGGTGCTGAATCGTCTGGGGGCGATGTTTCGTGCTCTTGGCGATTCGTTTTACATGCTGTTGGGATCTGTTTCACATCTTCGAGAGCCCGCCTGTAGGAGGACATGCCCGACCCAACCCAAGCCGGCACGGAAAAAATGGGTGCGATGCCCAACAGCAGTTCTTGTTCATTCTGGACAGGACTCGCTGTCCGCGCCGCCGCGGGCGTTGTTCTTTGAACACATAAGGCAGGCCGCCTGCCCAACAGCGACCGCTGCCGTTTTTGGGCAGCATTTGTTGTTGGGCATTGTGCAATTTTTTCCGTACCCATTGCGGGCATCAAATAGCCCGTAGATTCGTCATGAGAAGAAGTAGCAGCATGAACAATTCAGGAGAGGAACAAACACACAGACACAATTAACCGTGGTCTCCCAGGGAAATATGAGGAAATATGGGAAATCTTCAGCCACGCGCAGGGGGGGTGGGGGAGGGGGGAGGGCTTCTCAGAAGCACCCCTGCTTCCAAGAAGCCCTCCCCCTCCCTCCACCCCCTCGTGCGCACCGCCAATTGTTGCGGACCCCAGAATCTCATGGACCGATCCGGCCCGAAAAGTAGCGCAGAGAGATAGTGTTTATATTCAGGCGATCGCAGACATGGATCACGGGGGCGTGGATGAGCGACGAGTCCCGTTTCCATGGGAAATCGCGGATTCCCGTCGCCGAGCGAGGCGGCACCGGCCGCATTTTGGGGAGGGCACCTCCCCCGATGCATGGATTTGGCGACCGCGCGCCAAGTCCATGGATCGCGAATCCATGTTTGCGCGCCCCCGTCAGTATCGTTTATGCGATCCCCATCGAAGGCTCAGGAAGGGATACGCCGATCCCCTTTCGCCCTCAACGAGAGCCCCGAATCATCAGGGGTAACTCGGATCGGGGCTAAGTCGGGTTTGTTTCCTCGGGGAATCCGAACCCGAGTTGCCCGATGCAGGGCCCCGGGCCGTGATTTTTTTTGGGGTCTGCGCCGTCGGATATCTCGGGGAGGGTATCGGCACGAGCCGTCCGAGGGCGTTCCCCGAGAGCGCCCCTTCGGAGCGGTCTGCGGCGCTTTTTGGAGCGGCCGCGCGGCGCTCGAGGAATCCTCCAGGGCCGGGGATCCCAGAGATCCCCGAGCTCTCCCGATCGGAGCTCGCGTGGATCCTGGCCCGAAGTCGGGCCTGTCCCTCTACAGGAGGAATATATTCAAGAAGAGTCGAACAATAGTAGGAAGACTATTGTTTGACCATGCGTGAGCATCTTGGGAATCTTTGGAGTATTTTTAATTTTTCGCCCAAAATCCCTCTTTCGGGGGACAGGTCCGACCTAATCTTAGAGATTTTCGAGTTCTCCCGATCGGAGTTCGCGTGGATCCTGATCGCGTCTCGCCAAGGTTCGTAATTTTCCAGGGGGGCCTGGGCCGATCCAAGACATCCGCGCGCACCGAGAAGTAGACTTATATGATGTTTCAGCCTAATTTAGCCTGTGGACCAACCGAAAGAATTTCGATCACCAAGACAGTACCGAAACTTGAGGGTTTTCACGTGTCGGGCCCTGGGAGGCGATACTCGTTCGACACTGTTTCGATACTTCTCTGGGTGCTCGAAAATATTTCTGGGATGTGGTCCGTAAGTACGGTGGCAACAACATAAAAGTAGACCTTCGGAGGTTTGCGTGAACGTCTTGGACTGGAGTTGGGCACCCCTCCCGGTCGCGCGGAGCGCGCCAGGGGCGGCGCCAGAGGCGCCTCCAGGGGGCGCCCAGCGGCGATCCAAGACATCTGCGCTAAGCTCCGAAGGTTTACGTTAGTACATGCCCTGCTCTTTCGAAAGGAAGGGCGGGAGCGGGAGGAGGCGGCAGTAGGAGGCCGAGGTGAGGTTGAGTGAACAGTGGGGAGCCGACCCCAGCCCCCACAACCATGGAGTTTACATGTCAGCGTTTTGAACGTATGGCGAAAGTGCGTAAGTGTAGGTGCCTTGCCATGATCCTCGAGCTCAACAGCCCGACCTCACTACACCATTACTGGCCACTCTGCACGTTGCTTCTGGTCATCTCCAGGAGCAGGGCGCTGGTTTACTCCGACGCTGCGTCCGAGACGTGGGTGGAGGTCCTCGATCGTTGCCTGAAGGAGGACCCCTCTACAGCGGCTGAAGTCGAAGCCCTCGCGTAACGGGGGTCGACCAGTGGCCACTCCATCGGCCGTCGTCTCCGCGATCTCCGCGACGAAGCAGAAGCCGAAGCGCTGCAACAACTTGTACGACCACATCACCGACATCAGGGTCAAAGGGGAGGTGGGCCGGGAGGATGGGGATGTTCTTCGTCGCATCCTCGAGCACGCCAGTTCGACCACTGGGCTCGTGCTGTCCGAGACCGCGCTGGACGCAGTGCCGAAGGCAGGGGACTTCTACCACCTCGCCTCCAGGGACCAGTACGCGCCCCCTGGTTGCCTACGGCTCCTGCTCCGCAGCACCGATGAAGTTCGCAGGATTCATGCCGCCCTCCATGGGCAGACCGTCCGTGTAGGTACTGACAGGGTCGCCATCGAGATCCTGATCGCCCCTCTGCAATTGAGCCCCCTGCCTGGAAACGGCAGGCGGTAGCTGATCGAGACACCGGCGGCTGCCGCCTCGACGCGGGGTGTCTTTCGGGCCCAGGCCACGGGCTTGGAATTTCTTGCACGAGCGAGTCTGGGGAGGGCTACTGGATTGCTGATGTCGTTCTCCGTCTCCACCCCGCTCAGGCGGGGCCGGGCGTTTCGGACCACTCACGGCCAGGTGCTCCCCCCTCCGGTGCTGCTGATTACGACCGACTTCTTCCTACTCTTCCTGCCCTTGTTTTTTGTGATCGCGAGCTGCTACCTGACCGGTCTCTGACAGATAATAGAGACGACGTACCACTTTCTATTTATCGCCGTCAGCGGCTTCTGCGCGCCTTGGGCGAGCTGCCTCCAGACGCCATCTCCACGCCGGCCCTCTCGGTCCCGCAGACGGTTCGGGCCGGGCGAAAGGGGGGGATAGTAAAGGGGGGGTTTGAGAATCAGCTCGCGTAGCTGATTTTCCCGGCGCCTCCCGGCGCCGGAGGCGGCCATGTATCGAGGAATGGGCCCTTCGGTGAGGCCGAAACCAGCTGCATGCAGCAAATTTCGTAACCCCCCCTTTCCCTATCCCCCCCTTTCGTCCAGCCCGAACGGTGGCTTCGACAGGTAGCTTCAGGCAAGGCCAATTCTTATTGGACGTCGCAGTGTCCGTGTGGAAAGCGCAGGCCCTCTTCGCCACGGACCCGCATCGCCACGAGGCCAAGGCCTCCCATGTCCACAAACTGGTCGCGAGGTCCGACGTCTGCTTGCTGACGGAGGCCCACGGCACCGACGCTGGGAACGCCGCTTGGAGGCCTCCCATCGGCAGCACTGCCTGGTTGTCGGCCGGCTGCTCGCCAGGGCACGCGGGGGTCGGCATTATCGTGAAAGACTCGCGCCTCAAGCTCTTCTCGTATGTCGCCCCGCTCGAGGTTATCTGGCCTGGGAGGGCGGCCAAGCTCAAGCTGCGCGGCCCCCATGGCGCTTTGGATATCATTGTCACTTATTTCCCCACTGGCGCGAGAGTCACCGAACAGGATCTCTTCGGCGTGGACCCCTCCAGGCACGACGCTGTGACGACGTTCCCCGCCCTCCGCGCGCACCTCCGCAACCGCCTGGCGGGGAGGATATCCCCTAAGGAACGGGCGCTCACCATCCTCGGCGGCGACTTCAACTACGTGGCCTCGCCCAGCGACAGGACTGCCATAGCGTCGCAAACGGACACGGGCAGACGGGACCAGGGGGAGGAGAGTCACTTCCAGACAGTCTTGGCTCGGCCTCATGGGTTTCACGAGCTGTTCCAGGGTGAACCTACCCATGCATCGGCTTCCTCTCGATCGCGATTGGACCGCCTCTACGCGAGGTTCCACGCGTCGGAGCAGCTGGACCGCTGCCTCCGTGCCCCTGCCTTGGAATGATGTCCCGAGCTATCGGCGCACAGGACGATTTTCGCATCCCGGAGCGCGCCGCAGAGGACTTCAGGGCACGCCCGCCCAGTATCCGACCGCGCCCTCCGACACGACGACTTTCCTCGCCTCTTAGCTTTGGACTATTACCAGAAACTCGAGTTGTTCCCGGGAGCATCGGCGATTCGTCGGCTACACATGTTCAGGTAATCCATCAAAGAGGTGGCGGCGCGCCTGGACGCCAAGATGGGCAAGCCCCCTGCTGCCGTGGACCTCGAAGACCGGCTGGGGGGTCACGATGCGATTCGTACGGTACGTCGAAAACGGCATGATGGGAAGCATTTCGTCCTGCATCGAGCGGTACCCTCGCCTCGCCGAGATGATGGGCAACCCTTACGATATCGGTTGTCACCTGTTGATTCGTCTTCGGCCTGTCAGGGATCATGTGATAGAGTTGGCCAGAGAGCACGCCTTGGACGAGCTCAACAAATCGCACGCGGACCTCGTCAGCGGCAACGCGGCCAGGGCCGTTCAGGCGAGGCAGAAGAACTTGCGCCTGATATTCCGGCTCGCCCCTGGCAGAGCGGGCAGCCTTTCGGCCGTCCTCGCCAAAAACGGCCAGATCCTGACAGGCATTGCCGAGATGGCCGCAGAACTCCGCAGACATTGGAAGCGCGTTTTCCGTGCGAAGGGCATCGACCACACCCTCCTCGAGAATTGGCTCAACGAGGACGCCGACAGCAGGAGCGACAAGGATATCGTCGAGGACACCCCCGCGATTGCCCGGCTCCGCAAGCGCCACATCCGACACGCCATTCAGCACTCCAACAATTCTTCCCCGGGCCCTGATAGAATCAGTTTCCTCGCTTGGAGAAGATGCATCAAGCTCAGCTCTCCACGACAGTTCTTTTCGACGCAGTGCGAGTGCTGATGGACGATTCCGGCTGCGCGGCCATAGACGAGGAGTGGTCCGACCTCAATGCGAGCCTGCTCTTCCTGCTGCCCAAGAAGGCTTCTGGCACCACGGCCACAGGCGAGGGCTATTTCTCAGCTGAGAATACGAGACCGCTGAACGTGACCAACACGGACAATCGCCTGCTCGCCAGTGCTGTTCGGCACCTCGTGGAACCGATACTCGGCCCGAACATCATCGATACCCAGAGGGGCTTCATCGCAGGGCGCAGCGTGCTGGCCAATCTGGTGGACATCGAGGAGGCCATGGGAACCAGCGCGTGCACGTCCGACGAGGGGGGGGCGCTCTTCTTCGACTTCGCCGCCGCGTTCCCGTCCGTGGAGCACGACATGTTGTTCGCGGTGTTTCGGAAGCTCCGTTGGCCTGCCTGGCTGGTCAATTTGGTCGTTTGCCTGTACTACCGCAACTCGCGCTCCATCGCGCTGGGCGGCACCCGGCGCGCTGGCTTCGACCTGGCGCGGGGCGTCCGCCAAGGGTGCCCCCTGTCACCGCTGCTGTTCGCGGTGGCGTCGGACATCCTGCTTCGGCGTCTAGGCCGGCGTATTCCAGAAGCACGAGTGCGCGCCTACGCCGATGACACAGCCCTCGCGCACGCTGCCATCTTCCAGCACATCGGCGCCATCCAGGACATGTCCATTGAGTACGAGCGCATTTCCGGCCTCCAGCTGAACATCGACAAGACAGTGTTCGTGCCGCTCTTCCGGTGTGATCGCGATGAGGTTCGTCGCCGGCTCACTCGGGAAGCCCCCCTGCGGGTGGCGCCCCCGATCCAGGACAAGGCGAAGTACCTCGGCATGGTCGTCGGCCCGGGCCGCGGCACCAGCTCATGGGACGCCCCCTTCCGTAAATTCATGGAGAGAGCCGTGTTGCGGGGGCAAATGGGCGTAGGTCTTCTCCACGCTTTCTTGGCCTACCCGGTGTTTGTGTGCTCGGTGATCATGTTCGTCGCGCAGCTCGACCCGCTGCCGCGCACGTTCGCGGCGATCGAGCTACAAGCGTGCCGCGCGCTCTTCCGCGGCCCCAAGGATTGGTTTTCCGTGGGCGCGCTGAAGGACCTGAAGTCGCTGAGCTTTCCGAAAGCTCTCCCCGACGTCCAGTCCGCCGCGCGGGCGGCCAGGGCCCGGGTCGCAAGGTTCGAGAATTCCGCACACGGCGGTCTCCGGATTCAGGCCCGCGCACGCCAGCTCCTCTGGGTGAGCCGCGACACCAGGAACCAGCCCCGAGTCCAGTACTTCCAACACTACGTCGACCAGAATTTCTTGTTCTCGCTCCATGGCGCCACAAGTGAACTTACGGCTGCCGAGCGGCAGCTGCTCGTTGCGCCGTCTCTCCTTGATCCCGCGAGCCCTGCCGCCCAGGAGCGGGGCGGGTGGCAGGCCCAGGCAACGCGGACTTTTGATGCAGTCTCCCGGCCCTCCGCGGCCGCGCACATTAGGAAACGCTTGGACAAGTGGCAACTCGACGTCCTGCCAGGCCACAGGCCCGCACGGTGGCTCAACACTCTCGCTCTTTCCTCGCCTCTCCTCCCCCCCAGAGTGCAGGCGTGTCACATTCGGACTGCTTGGGACGGATGGATTACTGCCCGCCGCTTCGGTAAGTCAGGGGGGTGCCTTTTCAAGTGCCCACGTGGGGAAGACAGCATACAGCATTACGCTTTCTGTGGCCCCTTTCCACTCCCTCTGCCAGCAGCGTCTCGGACTTAGCCGGCCACCCGCACAAGAGTGCCTCAGTGATTCTCTGGGCATTCGCCCGCACGAGCGCTCCCTCCCAGCGCATTGCCAGGACGGCAGCGCCAGGGCCACGGCGGCAGCGCTCCGGGCGATAGGTGTGTATGCTTTGTATAGAACGCACATTGCAGTGAGACACGGCCTCTGCGCCGCAGACGGGGCCGACGCCTTCCGCGGCTTTGTCCGCGAAGCGGTCTCTGGCCTTTCTCGCGCCCAACATCTCGTTAAGATCGCTTTCAAGAGGCCCCGCCAGGACAGCTAGCAGCCACGGGTGTCACCGAATGCATGGTTTGTTGCATCTGTGTTCCTCCTCATCCTCTCGGTCGTTTTTCGGCGCACCAGTCGCTACCGCTTGAATTATATGTAATATCTGTGGCACTTGTGCCCACGTCGCTGTGATACGAGCTTTGGCACTTTTCGTATCATTGTAGTCCTGTTCCCGTTCCCCCCGTCCTCTCCTTCCTCGTCCTCCTCCTCCTCTCTCTCCCTCTCTTCCACAGGGCCTGGTCAGCCATTTCGTCTCACGTTCCGCTTCGCATCATTTGCCATCGCGGCAGATATGCTTTCGCTCGGCCTGGGAGCCGATATATTTCTCGGCGCATTCGTAACTCCAGCTAGGCAGTACGTATTATCATCACCTGGGTGGCCGAGGTGTCCGGCAGTGCCAGTTTTGCAAGTCCCCTGTTGTGCGCAACGGTTCGCCTACGGCAGGTTGGCCTGGGCGCTGCTCCAGGTGTCTTGGAGTTATCCTCTGCTCGTCCTCCCTCCTCTTTCCAGCCATAGTGTTTGTATTGTTTGGCCGCCGAGGCCGTTCAATACGGGTCTGTCCAACATCAGCTTGGCAGGCCAGGGGATGATACGTTTTAGGGTTAATTCGTATCCTTCGCCATCTGGCTTCACTTGTCCCCTCCTCCTCCTCCTCCTCCTCCTCCTCCTCCTCCTCCTCCTCCTCTTCCTCCTCCTGTCAAGTGGGAAGCCCGGCAGGCCGGACACTTTACTGCAATTTGCGCGTCCGTTCCCACACGCTTGGTGAGGAAAAGAACGGCTTTCAAGTGCAACCAGCATTCGCGTTACGACGGTGGTTCTTGAATCATGCGGTCCGCTCCCATCTTTTCCCTCAAAAAAAAGTGTGGGTGCCTTGTCGGCGAGGCCATTGCCAGCTGCCGCAGGGGGGGCCCGCGCGCGCGCGGCTACGTGGTGGGCCCACTCGACGCGGCCGCGCCCGCGAGCCGCGGCATGCAGTTTGAGGCGACGGCGGCGGTGTCCTTCGCACCGTATTTCCGCTGGCCCAGCCGCGGGCCCCCACCCCCGCCGGCGGAAAAGTTTAGGTCGGGAGCGTTTCTCTTGAGGTAGCTGTTCCAATATAAGCGCTTGGGGCGCTTATTTAAACAAGCGCCTGTTCTTGTTTAAATAATATGTTCGGGGCTCTCCCGCGCGAGACTTCTCGCATCGGAGAAGTTCAGATCGATTTTACATAGGGTTTATATGAACTTGTTCGCCTGGTGCCTAAAATTTGTTTTTGGGGTGGACCTAAACTTTTCGATGCACGCCTGGGGCGGGCCCCGGGCGCCGTCCCGCTCCTGCCAACGCCGCCAAGAGGCGACGCGCCTTTTGATTTCTTGCCGTGGCACGAGCGCGCGAACATCCACAAGGACTTTGGGCATTAGCAGCGCGCCAGCACAAGGAAACGCCAAGTTCATCAAACGCCAACGAGCATAGCAGCAACGCGCCGTTCGCATTGAATGGCGCGGCGTCGTCGTTGGCTGATCGTCGAGCTGTTTCCGTTTGCAGTTCACGCGTCGTTCGACGGTCCCATTCGTCTAATGTTTTTCATGTGGGGGGCGGGGGGCGTTTTTTCCATGCGTTCTAGAAGGAGGGGGGGCGAGGATAAGGAGGAGGTTGTAGGGAGGAGGAGGAGGAAAAAAGGGAGGAGGAGGAGGAGGAGGAGGGAGGAGGAGGAAAAAGAAGAGGAGGTGGGGGAAGAGGGCGAGGAGGAGGAAGGGGAAAGGGAATAAGAGCGAGGAGGAGGAGGAGGAGGAGGAGGAGGAACAGAAACAGGAACAGGAACAGGAACAGGAACAAGAACAGGAACAGGAACAGGAACAGGAAAAGGAAAAAGGACGAGGAAGAGGAAAAAGGACGAGGAGGAGGAGGTGGGGGGACTACGAGAGATGGGGTCGCCCAGACCCCCGACCCGGGCCGCGCGCCGATCCCAAGCGCCCGCGCGGGCCTCTGCAAGCTTTGTGTTTTTCTGCCTCCTGTCGTGTGCCTCTCTGAAGGCGGCGGGCCCGCCGGCGGGCGCCCGCGGGCGCCGCTTCATGTACGGCCTGCGGGGGGGGTGTTCAACGGGGGGGGATGGGCGCAGAGGGGGGCTCAGAGGTCGGAGGGCGCCAACTGTCCCGAGCCCCTTTGGGTCGCATGGTGGAGTCACGGCGGAGGGTTCTTTGTCACCTTCTGGTTATCAGGGCCATTCCCAGGCCCTGGGACCGTCCGGAGCATTGATATGATTGGTGCAGGGGCGTGGTCGAGACATTTGGAGGTCCACGGCAGCAAAAGATCATGGCGTCACGTCGGGGGCCTGGGGTTTTCGAGGGGGACAAATGTACCACTAATGTTGCGCTTCCCTCGTTGTCGCCCTGTGGGGCCTCCTGGGAGGCCCTCGTCGCCACGCTGGGTTCGCTCCGACAATCTGGTCAGAGCGCGCCCCAGTGGGTCCGGGGAGCAGCGCTGTTGCCATGGTTTTGGGTCTCCCCGGGGGACGCGCCGGCCCAGCCTTCGGCGGCGCGGGGCCTGAGCAGGCCCGCGGCGATGGCGTTGGTCCTCGGCGGTCCTCCGAGCCTCGGGATGAGCTCTGGCAGCTGCGCCTCGCCGGGGGCCTTCCCGGGGTGCCCGCCTCGGCCCGAGCGGCCGCCAGAGAGCTGGGCGAAAACGCAGCCCTGGACCTCCACCTTCCGAGCCTTCCGCGCAGCAGCTGCCGCCGCGGCGCGGCCGCGGAGACCGCCGAGACCGCCGCTTGCGGCCTCGACCGCGGCCGCGCCGGCGGCCGCCGCTGCGCGGCATTTGCCGTCGGGCATTGTGCGGAGGGTGGAGGTCAAGGAAGGCCCCTCGGGGGGTGCGCACGGGTCCCTGGTTGCCCCAGTCCTCGCCGAGGGGGGGGCCCGTCCCCGCCCAAGGAGCGTGCGGATTCGCAGGCCCGGGGTCCCCTTGTGAGCCTGGCATCGCAATGTTTGCACAGCGGGCGTGGTCGCTCCACTTCGGGCCCTGGGACCCTCACGGCTCGATCTGGCTCGAAGAAAGTCGTTGCCAGATGGGGTCTGGGGCTCGGGTCGTGATGTTTCGCGATGTTCCATGCAATCTTTTACAGCGTCGGATCTCAAGGTCTGCCGGCGATGCATCGTCGGTTCCAGCTCGACGATTCCCCCCCTGAGCCCGACCCGTGCTGAGCACTCCCAGGCCATCTTGAGTGCTGAAGAATGGCCCTCCAGACTGACAGAGCTATCAAGGCTGCTTACGGCCTCTACTATACTCCTAGGTTGGAAGACTTTGGTGCCATTATTGCTGCCCCCCTTGGGAGGTCAGGGTCGTGTCCCCGCAGGCCTGGCCGTGCTGGCCGTCACCTCCGTCCTGCTGCTGTTCCGCGGCGTCGCCTCGTACGAGGCCGGCGGGGAGCTGCTGCACGTGGAGCCCGAGGGGAAGGGCGCGCTGGAGGTGGCCGCCGAGGCCGTCTCCGAGGTGGCCTCCGAAGGTGCGCAGGCCGTGTCCGAGGGCGTACGCGCGGTGTCGGGCATGAACCTTGCGCAGGCCCCGGCAGAAGATGTGGCCCGCACCGCCGACGGCGCCTCCGATGCCTCCGATGCCGTCAGGGACCACGTCCAGGCCCTGGAGCACGAGATCGCTGGGCTCAAAGACCTGGCGACCGACGGAGAGGGAGCACATGCACAAGCGCAGAACACACGCACGCACGCACGCACGCACGCACGCACGCACGCACGCACGCACGCACGCACGCACGCACGCACGCACGCACGCACGCACGCACGCACGCACGCACGCACGCACGCACACACACACACACACGCACGCACGCACGCACGCACGCACGCACGCACGCACGCACGCACGCACGCACGCACGCACGCACGCACGCACGCACACACACACACACACACACACGCACACACACACATACACACACACACGCGCACACGCACACGCACACGCACACGCACACGCACACGCACACGCACACGCACACGCACACGCACACGCACACGCACATACACACAGGGGAAACACGACATCGATTTTCCGGTGGAGGCAAGGCGTGCTCGTGCCCCGCATTTGGGGTCAGAATCAACTGGAGAGGGTACTCGAATATCTACTTTCGCAGGTCCCCGTGGGCTTCCCTGGGTAGGCGCTGGATCTCCCCTGGCGGCGGCTCCGGCGCCGCCCCTGGCGCGCTCAACGCGCTGGGGAGGGGGGGCAGCGCCTGTGTGAGAAATCTGCGAGGGCCCTCAAAGGTTACGCTTGTGCTTAAGTCGGGCATGTCCCTCTACAGGGGGAATATCCAACAGTAGTCAAACACTGTTTTTTGGCGATGTTTCGACTAAGTTTGGCTATTCTTGAATACATGGTGTAGATGTGTGGTCTTTTCCTCCGAAAAAGTCTTGTGGGAGGACATGCCGTCTCCCCTTCCGCCAGGTGAACCGGCACGACAAGATGCTGCGGTACGTGATGGACCGCTACGTGGAGAAGGCCGTGGGCACGCAGACGGCCAGCGTGGCCGCCGAAGCACAGGGCGTGAAGCTCGAGGAGCACAAGTCGTCCGAGGCGGGTCCCACGTGGATGCGGTGCGGTGGTATCGATTTTTGGCCTGCCCGATCCGAGTCGGCTCCGGAGATCGGGCGTCCCGAAGTACAGTGGGATCCATGCCAGGAAGCACCCAGGCGTGCCTCCAGGGTGCCCTGGGTTTCTTGGGTTTCGACGTTGTGCTGTGGAAAGCGCGACGCTCCCACACCAACCATCAAAGGGTTGGGTTTCCTGAGGAAGGTTGCGTGTGGACTGGCCTCCACTGTAGCTCGGGTGTTGCCAAAAAGGGCCCTGGTCCAAGGTGCTCCCAGCTTTTCGTGCCATCTTGGGGCCTCTCTGGGCCCCCCTGGGCACATTGAGGGGTTCTGGGAAGAAAAAGACAACTCTGGAGGCCATCCGGGCCTCCTGGGAAGTCCTAGGGGCACCTTGGGCCAGGGACGCCTCTGACACCACCCGGAGGATGCGGTTACCACACCGTCGAGCGAGTCAGCGGGGATTTGGGGGTGACAGCGCGATTCACCCATCAGACATCTCAAGACGAAACCTCAATTTTCATGGGCTCCAGGTTTCGAGTAAGAAAACCAAGACTGTGGACTGGACCGTGGGCATTGTCTAGGAACCTTGTTCCGTATAACGTTCGTATAACTGGACCGGGGCTGTTGTTCAAGACCGCGCATGGAGTGAAGCTCTGTTCCTCAGCGAAATATTTTCTTAGCTCCAAGCAGGGGCGTACCAGCCTGAAGCAGATCCCTGTTCCCCAAGATCGGCATCTCCTTCTCGCGGTGCCGATCTCAAGGGTTCCCCCAGTTTCCAAGAGGCACATCCCTGAGACCGTCGGCGCCATGGGCTTGTCGATCTCAGAAGTAGGGGCAAGTTCAAGGCAGGCTGGCGCGCGGCTTGGGGGCCTGGACCGCTCTTCGAGGATGGGCCGAACGAAAGGGGGGGATAGGGAAAGGGGGGGGTACGAAATCTGCTGCATGCAGCTGGTTTCGGCCCCGCCGCCAGGCCCATTCCTCGATACATGGGCGCCTCCCAGCGCTGGGAGGCGCTGGGAAAATCAGCTACGTGAGCTGATTCTCTGCCCTACCCTTTGCTTTCCCCCCCCTTTTGTTTCCCCTGAACCTGCCAGAAGGCTGGCCCGGTTTCTTGAGCACGTGCGTCCCTCCAGCGTGAACAGCAGAAGGCGGCACAGGTTCTTCTAAGAGACGTCTGGGAAACTGGATCAGATTTCTTAGATGGTAGTTTCAAGTCGGGCACTTCCCTCTACAGGAGGAATCTTCAAACATAGTATCGAAAATAGTACGGGAACGATTTGTTTAACGTATTTCTTCGCCATTTGGGCGTATTGTTTGAATATTGTATTTTTGTTCGCCCGCAACGTCCCCCTGTAGGGGGGCATGCCCGACCTAATCTTAGATGGTAGTTTTCTTGACCATATGTTCGGCTGTACGCCACCACCACATCCCTCACCTCCTCCCAGGGCCTCCTGGGCGGAGGAAGGAGGGAGACTGGAGCGGGTGTTACGTCGGGCCTGTTCTTTTAAAGAGGGAATCTTCGAGAATAGCAACAACGTCTGGGGACGATTTGTTTGAATAGTTTCGAGCATTTGTTTTGTATATGTATGGGGTATGTTTCATTTTTCGTTCAAAATCCGCCTGCAGGGGGACACGCCCGACCTAAAGCTGGTGTTGGTGCATACTTTTGGGGCATTCATGCTGGGGGTTTCCGCACGGTCTGTCACCCTGCACTTTTCTGGGACCCCCGATATATTCCGACGATCCGGTGCGGCCCGCACCGATCCTAACGCAGCCAACCCGGTTCGATGTCGGGCTTATGCAGCCCATTGTTAGGGAGGGACAGAAGAGTATCAATGACACGCCCGCCGTTGGGAGCCCGTCATTGTGTAAACCCTTCATTGTTGCTGTCCGGGATCCTAGTGTATCTTGAGCAGCCACACGCTGATCGCTTCCCCTCGGCGGCGTGTCTTTGCTATTGTTCTACCCGCCCCAAGATCCACAGCGCGTTCCGGTCTGATCTGATTTCCCGATCCGATGTCGATTGATCTCCCTGAGTTCCGTCAGCCTCGACGCGCCCCAGATCCGACGCACGTCCTTGTCCGACTCGATTGCCCGATCGGATGCCGACTGATCCTGCCGACAGGTCAACCTCGACGCGCCCGAGTTCGTCTCCAAGAGCGACCCAGGGCGTGCAGGTGACCTACCCCGAAGGCCGGGGTCGGACGAACGGGGCACCGGCGGAGGACGGGGCCGGGGGGGGGGGGCACGAGGAGGACGGAGGCCGAGGACGAGGACGAGGAGGACGAGGACGAGGAGGACGAGGACGAGGAGGACGAGGAGGTCGGAGGCTGAGGACGAGAGTCAGGAGGACAGGGGCTGAGGGCGAGAACGAGGAGGACGAGGACGAGAAAACGAGGAGGGCGTGGAGGTCGGAGGCTGAGGACGAGGACGAGGAGGTCGGAGGCTGAAGACGAGAACGACGAGGACGTGGAGGTCGTTGGCTGAGGACGAGAATGAGGAGGACGAGGACCGCGACCGCGATCCATGTCCGATCGCTTGCGGGCCACAGTTGGACGGGGCTAGGACGAGGATAAGTCCGTCCCAGAGCGTTCTGGCACGCTCTCAGAGCGTGCCGGAACGGCTCTCAGAGATTCTCGATTCATCCTCATCCGATGTTATCTTCGCCCTGGCTTCGTCTTAGGACGAGGATCATCCTACAAGCTCAAGGGGAAGGCGGGGGCCAGCGAGTGCTGAGAGACTAAATCAAAGCACCTGAAATCTGACACCGACATTCATGCCTTTATTCTCCAGCAGCACGAAGAGGGCCCAGATGGGCCGTGTATGTCTTCATTTACGAAGCAGGCGATCGCAAACTCGTGCATCACGCGGCTCACGTGCCACTTAGGTCAGCCCGAACTTCCTTTGAGTCCGAACTCGGAAGACTCAAAGATTCTTTCAACTCTGACTGTGACGGGAGCTTGTGAAAACGGGCAGGTCGTGGCGGGAATGCTTGAGCGTCCCGTCGAGGAAGAGAGGAGGTATCATACCTTCCCGACCCAGCCCCCAAGACACCCCACGAGCACGGATCAATTAAGTTTGACAAAGATCATTATCTTACAAGCTCAAGGGGAAGGCGAGGGCCAGCGAGAGCTGAAAGACTAAATCAAAGCACCTGATATCTGACACCGATATTCACGCCTTTATTCTCCAGCAGCACAAAGAGGGCCCAGATGGGCCGTGTACATCTTGATTTGCACAAGGAGGGCCCAGATGGGCCGTGTATGTCTTCATTTACGAAGCAGGCGATCGCACATTCGTACATCACGCGGCTCACGTGCCACGTACGTGAGCCCGAACTTCAAACACCTGCACCCTTTGCCTGGCAACGTCCTCGTTATCCTGGCAAATGTACCCCCGACGCTGCAAAAAGAACTGAGAAGATGGTGGCGACTGTCTGGCCATCGTCGGGTGGCTCCTGCAGTTTGTTTCGCCCTCAAACACCACTTGTGCCCCCGACGCTGGAAAGCTCAACATCTGTCGTGGCGCCCAGCGCAACTGCAGAAAAAGGCGTCCAGGACACACTGCTGCACACGCTGGCGCCACGCCTGATCATCGAACTGCGGGGTGACGATCGCGCCCGTGGGCCACCGTCCCTATGGCGCCCTCGTGTGGCTCCCCTAGCCACCCCGAAGGGCGCCCCCATCACTAAGTCCACCAGCCCGTGTCCTCACCGAACGTCTCGTCCGAAAAGAGGCCTCCAGGGCACCGTCAGCGCCGTCATGAGCGACTTGGTCCCCAGCTCGAGAAGCCGCCGCTCCCATGAGGTCAGCCTGATGTCGGCGCGCCCCCACGGCTCCGCACGTGCGCGCAGAGAGCGGGGCCCATGACTTCGAAAACGGGCGCGGCTCCAGGTCGAGCACGGGGATGATGCCAACACCCAATGGAAGTACCCCTTTTCGACGAGCCTCACGATGACGCTCAAAAACTCTGGGGTCGGTAAGGTCGTGTTTCGGGTCGATGATCGCGTCCAGGGGCCAGATCTCGATGAGGATGCCAGCGCTCTCCGCGCGCCGCCGTAGGTGTTCCTCGAGGTCTCCTGGTCGCCGAACCCCCGCGAAGAGGTAGAGGAAGCGGAACGCACGCCTGCTCGGGCCACGCATGACTGGGGCCGCGGCCTGCGCCAACTCGTCGATGTCGTGGGCGTAGCCGCCGCAGCCCTCCTGCCAGGCGTCCTCCTCGGTGTTAGCGTAGAGGTCCTCGGCGGCGATGGTCCAGCCTCGCAGCTCGCAGTATCTGGGCTCCGCGCGAGTGTTCTCCACAGTCGCCTGGGTGACGGCAACCCCGCAGCCTACGTCGCTGGAGTCGGTCATGAAGGCCTGGCGGGCCCAGGGCGATTCCAGGTAAGTGACCATGAGCGGGGCGCAGTAGACGGCAGCGGTGAGCTCGGCCCGCGCCTCGGCGGACAGGCGGAAGGCAGCGGTGGGGCTCGAAGGGCGTCGCATCTCGTGGTGGACCTGGCCAGAGATGGCAGGGCTTGTTCGCTGGAACGCCGCCCGAGCCCAGAGCCCGACGAGGCGCTCCAACATGGCCGCTGTCCAGTAGGGTCTCTCCACCAAGGCGAGGGTCACGAGGGCCAGGCGACAAGTCTTCAACGGGCACGACCCAATCACATGTGGACGGCCCCTCAGGACGGCTCCCGGATACTCGAGCCCCTCGCCCTCCTCCTCCTTGCGGGCCGCGAGGCCCACGGACTCCAGGTAGGATTTGACCTTCGCCGCCATGCTCGACACCAGATCCTTCTCGCGGCCCTTCGCGCTCGTGCTGCTCGCAATCACGCCGTAGTTGTCCATGCAGGCCCAGTTGAGCGCCTCGCAGCCACTAGCATCGCCGTGGAGCTGAGGCGTCGGGGACCCATACACCATACGAGCGCGAACCGAGCCTTCGCCGAGAGCCGTCTCCATGCACGCCTGCAGGGCGGAGTGCGCCAGGAACGGCGCCCACGACCACCCCGTGACCAGCGCCTTCAGATCCAGGAAGCCCGAGTCGGCGGGCGCCTCGACGTCGACTGCCCGCTCGGCCATGTAGAACACGAACTCGTCCACGCCAACTTCGTCCACGCAAAAATAGGGCCAACACTGCGGGGGCGTTTGCAACCTGTAGAACATGTCGGGTATGTCGCCGACCGCCGAGTAGACGCGCCCCTCCGCCTCGATATTGGAGAGGTCCAGGTTCGTGAATGAGGCGGGGCTCCCGAGCGGCACGTAGGGCGGCCGCTCCCAGCGGAGGTTGGCCCGTCGCTCGTCCCAAACCGCGCGCACATGCCGCTGCAGGACCAGGTCGCCGTCCACCTCCGACTGCACGAACTACTTGATGCCCCCGAAGAGCGACACCGACTCCTTCTTCTCCTTGGTGAAGGTCAGCATGCCGCCTCTCCAGAGTCGCTCCGCCAGCCGCAAGCGAGCCCCACGAGACTCCAACGCGGGGTCCCGGTAGACGACCTGGCTCTCCAACTCTCGCATCATAACAGAATCGGGTCGCCTCAGCATCTTCCCTCCACTTCCGAGAAATACTCGACCGCAAGAGGACAAATGTCGACCAGCTTGACGGGGACGGTCCCAGGCGCAGGCAGCGCCAACTCGTCCACGTCGACTGAGCACATCGCGCCCTTCGGCAGCACGCGGCGATCCCTCGAATCCACGCCCAGGGACTTGGGGACCCCCTCGCCCTCGCACGGCGAGGCCCGGCCAGCGAGGACGCGCTCGACGGCAGCGTCCAGGTCCACGTCGACGTCGTGGATGTGGCCCTGCCAGGAGGCCCACGAATCCAGAAGCTCCAAGGCCGTCCTCTTCTGGAGCGAGGTAGATCGCTCCGACGGAGCCGCAGGCCCCAACCCTGTCACTGATCCCACCGCCCCCCGCGAGAGGGAGTTCAAGACACGAATGAGCCCGTTGGTCAGAAACCTCACCTTCTTGATGGTGCCATGGGGGGCGGACTCCATGCGGTTGTCCACGACATCCCAAGGGAGCAGCGGTCGCGGCCGCGAGGTCGAGCCTTTGGTGGCGGAATTGCGCCAGACGTCGTCAAGGCCAAGGTAGTGTAGCTGAAGAGAAAGATGTGAGCCACCAGGCGCCACGAGGTCGACGGGGCGCCAGCAGCTCGAAGGGGCCGAGGAACCAAGCCACTCCGCCAAGATCGTTGAGCGTAGGTTTTGCCCGCGTGTGCGGCCGCTGTCGAAGCAGACGGAGCGCCGAAGCGCCAGCAACCACGCCCAGCGCCACGGGAGCTCGGCCTCGGCGAAAACGTCCACGTAGAAAACCGTCAGTCCTCCTCCTTGGCGCCCTCGGAGCCTGCCTTGTGCAGGTACTTCTGGAACGGCGCCTTCTGCTGCAGCCGCGCGGTGAGATCCTTCTCGACGCTCGTGAGAGACTCCTCCCCGTCCATCTCGGAGCGCCAGTCCAGCTCGTTCGCCAGGTCCCAACGCACCTTCGACGTCCACTTGTTGGCTGATGCACCGCGGGCCTGCTTCCAATCGGACATCGCGTGTACATCCTTGAACGCCCGCTTCAGCACATAGACCCTCGAACACGGGATCTCGCAGCCAGCTGTCGTGATGAAGTCGGGGGAAGCTTCCAGCATGCGATCTAAGGTCATGCAGTGTAAGAGCATCTCGTGGCCGATGTGATTCTTCTAGAGCTCCTTCTGCTTGACCCAGTCAGTCGCGAACTTGCCCATGCTGCCATACTTGCCGTAGGTCTGGACTAAGAGGTCGGGGGCGACGCGGGCCGTCAGCCCTGGGGGCAGCTCGAACGTCGGGGCCGACTTCAGCTTCGTCAAGTTCTCCATCAGGCGCACCCTGGGATCCTTCAAGGACTCGCGCAGCGGCCCGATGTTCACCCCAACCTCCTCCACCGAGACCTCGTCCAAGTTGATGGTCGGGCCTGCTGTTGATCCCGCTGTCGCTGCCGTCGACGTCTGGTCTACGACCGCGCGACGAGCCCCTGATGCACGGCCCGCCTGTATGGTCTTCTCGAACTGGTTCAGGCGGTCCATCATACGGTCGACGTGCAAGCCCATGTCGGCAGGGGATGGGATGCGCTCCCAGCTGCCCGCGCTCGACCGCGGACCCCCCGCCCGGAGCTGAACTTCCCTCGGTCTCCGCCTCCGTGCGGCGACGGTCTCGACGATCGCGGTGCATCTCCTCCATCAGGTCTTGCATCATCTTCCTCATCTCCGAGACTTCCTTGCTTCCCTCCGACTCCGAGTCCGATTCGTGAACCGAATACCCGGCCTCCCCATCGCTGTCCACATCGTTCCCTGGAGGGCTGGCCCCGCCAAACATGGGCAGGCCACGGCGGCAGCACCAACTCCAGAGCACGGGGGTGAAAGCCATCAGAAGGAGAGGAGCAACATCGGCAATTCCAGCCGACCGTCCTGGTAGAGGTCGTACAGGTAAGGTAGGCCCTGAAGTCGTCCAGCTCCATCAGGAATGTGTGCGTGTCGTCCAGCTTCTCCAACGTCCACTGGCCCAATCCCAGGCCCTGAAGTACAGCGCGGCTCTCCAGGCGACAAAGATGAGGCCTCCGCTGGTGCCCCACGACGACGTCGCCCACATAGCGACCGCAGCACTGCGGGCCCATCCCAGCATAGAACCCCATGAGCGCCAGCGTGCAGCGCCAAATTCCATACTGAGCTGCTTCTCGGTGCCCGCCTCGATCGCTGCCGTCTTCTCCTCGGCGGACAGGGCGGGGAAGTGAGCGTAAGTGGTGTCCGGCTGTCACTTGGCGGTGATCCTCGACCGATCCTTGATGTCGACGGAGCTCAAACTTCGGTCTGGCTGGCCGAACATAGATCCACCTCATGTCGCCTTCCTTCGGATAGAGCCTCATCAACATCAGCACGACTTCGCCTTGGCCTCCGCCCGTGTCGCGGTACATCCGACTCCATTTGTGCACCGAGCTCATAGACAGGCCAACATATTCAGTGAAGCTCAGCCTCGGGTCAGATACGCTCGTAGCACGAGAGAGGGTCACTCGCGCTGGCGGCCAGGATGGGCGACTCGAGGGCCCACTCCAGCAGCCCTGTGTGGCCCAAGAAAGAGAAGGCGAGCCCTATGGCGAGGGCCCGACGCCACGTGATGTGGAAGCCTTGCGCGAGCAGCCGCTCGCGGGGTAGCAGCACGTACAGTGTGGGCTGGCTGCAGCCCACCCCGCGAGCGGCCTGAACATAAAAGGCTTGAGCGTCCCGTCGAGGAAGAGAGGAGGTACCATACCATCCCCCGACCCGGCCCTCAAGACACCCCACGCCCACGAGCACGGATCAATTAAGTTTGACAAACGATCAGTTCGGAGGCTGAGGACGAGAACGAGGAGGACGAGGACTGCGATCCATGTCCGATTGCTTGCGGGCCACCCTTGAGATCCGACGTACCGAAAAAATGCTACACCGCAGAAAAGCACGACTTGAGCCCCGCACCCCATCTTTCTGCGTCCTTCTTCGAGCTGGATCGATCTGTGAGTGTCCCCGGGCCCGAAATTGAGCGCAAACGCACGGCGTGAAAAAATTGCAACGCCAGTACCTCAGGGGAGGGCGAGAACGAGGAGGACGAGGACCGCGATCCAAGTCCGATCGCTTGCGGGTCACAGGGATGGGCAAGGCTCGAGCTGAACGGTGTTCGAGCGAACGGTGTTTGGGCAAGGCTCGAGCTGAACGGTGAACGGTGAACGGACCACCCCCCAGGACCACACCCAGGGACCTCCCCGGCACCCCTCCCTGGGACCCCCCCCATTTCCGAAGGGAAGGGATCAAAGGGAAGGGGCTTCCCTTTGACTCAATGACAACGTTGCTTAATTTCGCTGCGGATGGGCTGGTGTATTTCGCTTTGGCTGGCTTGCTTGCGGACGAGGGCCCAAGGAAAGGGGGGAAGCGGCGACGGACTCAGGGGAAGGAGGGGACGTGATGGCGGCGGCGACGCGACGGCGGCAGCGACGGCGATGGCGACGGAAGAGTTCCTGTCACACGCCGACAGGGTCGGCGGATTTCTTTCAAGATCCGCCCGTAGGGGGACGTGCCCGACCTAAATCTAGACATGTCCACTGCTCCCTGGCCGGGCCCTCTCTGGGCCCAGGAGCCTTGCATGCGGCTTCCTGGCCAAGCCAGGAGGGCCCGTCGTGTACACCGCTGCTGGGTTCAGGATGGGCCTGGCCAGGGATCAGTGGATATGTACAGATGTCGTCCCTCGGCAGAGCTCCTTGCGACCCAAAAGGGGGTCCAGCTGAAAGGGGGTGGTGCAGTATATAGTTGGGGCAATTGTATTGCAAATGTATTGCGCCAGAGAGCTAGGAAGCCCAGCAATACATGTGCTCCCCGGAATGTATTTCACGCCCCAAATCTATTGCAACCCCACAAATCGATTGCACCAAATCTAATGCACCATCCCCTCGTCGCTGGACCCCCTTTGGGGTCAACCCGGAAAACACCGTTCAGCTCGAGCCCTGCCCAGCTCTGTGGCCCGCAAGCGATCGGACTCGGATCGCGGACCTCGTCCTCCTGGGTCTCGCCCTCCCCAGGGACTTACGTCGGGTCTATCCCTCTCCAGGAGGACGATCAAACATAGACAAGAAATAGTCGGGTGATATTTTCCGTATTGTTGAGCATTTTGGAGTAGTTGTTGGGTATTTTTTCATTTTTCGTCCAAGATCCCCGTGTAGGGGGACACGCCCGACTTAACCTTGGTTCTCGCCCTCCCCAGAGACCTTGTCGTTGCAACTTTTTCACACTGGGCGGTTGCGCTCCATGCAGGGCACACTTTTGTGGTGTCCAGACCCCGGATAGTGAGGCAACCGGAGGCTTCTGGAAGGTCCTTCGAAGGAGTTCTGGAAGCTCTGGAAAGCAGCTACTGGAGAGCAGATTGAGAAATTGTTAGAAAAGGTCTTCTGGGACACGCTGCAGGTTCAGGCAACCTCCGCCGAGGTGTCCTGCCGGAAGCTGGAACGCCCTGGAACCCTCACAGATGGACCCCGCTCGAGAAGTGACGCAGACAGATAGGGTTTGGAGGGTTTTTTTCCAAAAGGCTTAGGCGATCCGTCCTCCTCCTCCTCCTCCTCCTCCTCCTCCTCCTCCTCCTCCTCTCCTCCTCCTCCTCCTCCTCCTCCTCCTCCTCCTCCTCCTCCTCCTCCCTCTACCCTCCTCCCCCTCCCTTTCCTACTCCTCCCTCCTCCTCCTCTCCTCCTCCTCCTCCTCCTCCTCCTCCTCCTCCTCCTCCTCCTCCTCCTCCTCCTCCTCTATCTCCTCCTCCCCCTCCCCATCCTCCTCCTCCTCGTCATCCTCCTCCTCCTCCTTCTCGTCCTCGGGTCGCCTACTGCCTCTGGGGAAACCGTGCAATGGGGTTTTGGGTTCTGGTCGCGATTTTTTGCGATGTCGCATTTTTCTTGCAACGTCGGATCTCAGAGTCGAATGCGTCCAGGCCCAGCTCAGACCCGTTGGGTGAGGGTCTGCCCTCGAGAATATGGTCAGCCTCGACAACTGCAGCGGGAGACACACGAAAAGTTAGGAGGCGAGGAGGAGGTGGAGGACGAGGAGGAGGAGGAGTAATAGGAAGTCCTTCTTGTCGGTGTCGGCGCGGTCTGGGCGCGCTTCGGGGGAGGTCTGGGCGCGCTTCTGGTGCCCACCGGCCAGATCCATGGACCCCTCATCCAATGTGCGGGCCCCAAGAAATAGTATACACCACCACCACCACCACCACCACCACCACCACCACCACCACCACCTCCACCACGTCGATTCCTCCTCCCTCTTCTACCCTCCTCTTCCTCTCCCATCTCCTGGTAGTGGGAGGGGGTGAGGGAGGTGGTGGTGGTGTATGCTTTGGGCCCCGTACAATGTCTCAGAGGAGGAGGAGAGGTACCGATACCGCTGCCCTCCCATCGCTTTCGCCTTTGGGGGCCTCCCGGGGGGCCCTCGTGGCCACCGCTGGATTCGCCTCGAAGTTCTGGTCAGGATGCATCCCGGGAGAGGTACGGGGAGTGGCGACATGTGTGCTTCTTGGTCTCCCCAGGTCTGTCGCCCACCCGCCAGATCTCGGACGGGGCTAGGACGAGGATCGATCCGGACCTCCTCCGGGGCCGCCAGATCTCAGAGATTCTCGATTTGTCTTCACCCGATGTTATCCTCGTCGTGGCTTCGTCAGTCGCCCACCCGCCAGATCCTCGGACCCCTCGTCCAGTGTCAGCGCGTGCCCGGGTCTCGTCCCCGCCGCCCCGCGCTCGTTTCTTCGGTGCACAGTGGCGGCTCCCAGGCGCTGGGGAACGCCAGGGAAGCCAGGCCCGTAAGCTTAAGTCGGGCCTGTCCCTCTATAGGAGGAAGATTAAAAAATAGTCAAAAATGGTCTGGGGACGATTTGTTTACTTCTTTCGATTATTTCTATTATTATTTTTTGTTGGACTATTTTCTTATTTTTCATCCCAAAATTGGGACAGCCCCGATCTAAGCATAGTGGCGGCTCCCAGGCGCTGGGGAGCGCCAGGGATACCAGGCACGTAAACCGATTCGGTAATTTCTGGTTGACTCAAGTGGGAGTCCAGCTAAAAAGGGGTGCTGCAATCGAAGTGAGGCGTGCAATGAATTCTGGGGCGCAACTGTATTGCTGCCGTCAGGCCGGCAATTTTTCAGATTGCCGCTGCGGGGGCGAGCCGTGCTGCCTGGGCCCTGGGTGGCACCGCCCCGTCATGCGGTGTGCTGCCAATGACGCTCGCGGAGGCAGCTGCCCGCCACACGCGCAGTCCTGCACTCCCCCGTGCGGGTCGTGTGTGGCGGTTCCCCCCTCTCCCCACCCCTTATTAGGTGCACGCGCCTGGGCACGGCGCCGCCGAGGCGCTTGACCGCTCGCTCCGCGCGCGCGTCGCTATACAAACACAAGTGTATTGCTGTTTCTCTGGCGCAATACATTTGTGATGAACTCGTTCCACGTCTATCGCACCACCCCCTTTCAGCTGGACCCCCTTTTGGGTCATCCAAATCACTGCCCTTCCCGCTGCTACTTTACCGTCGACGAGCGTCGATTAGCGTCTGGGAGTCGATGAAATAGCGCCTACTTAGCGTCGGCTAGCGTCGATTAGCGTCGATTAGTATTCATTCGACTAGCGTCGAGAAGCGCCGATCGGCGTCGTTTCGCAATAGCCGGCAGGATGGTATGGGAGGCTCCCATGGATTGCCACCGGAAATTCCCCCCGTTGCTATCCCCCTCGCTCGTCACCTGAGTGCTGGCGCTTGCAAGCGGGAGCTCGCGCCAGATCTCAGATAGGGTTTCGATTTTTTTCCGGCGGCCCCGTCAGACCACCCGACGCCGAAATCGCTGGGCTGAGGGGATCGCCCCTGGCGCCCCCTTTGGGGCCGACCCTGACCAGCGGCGATGGCCTGCGTGCGGCACACCCGAAACCGGGCGCCGCGAGCAGGTCATCACCGTTTGGGGGTCGGCCTCGGGGAAGGGCCAGGGGGGGGGGTCCCTCAGTCCAGCGGGTGTTGTCTCTGCTCGCTCCTGGTTAATTCGAGTCAAACTCAAGTCCCACGTCCCCCCGGCAGGCGCAAGGGCAGCGGCAGCGAGATCTCCATGGGGGGCGTCGGCGGCGGTGAGGAGGCGGCCCAGCTCGGTTCACCGTTGCTGAACCCCGCGTTGGACAAGTCCTGGTGCCCGGGGGAACGTGAAGAGGGCCAGCCGAGGCCATGCCGGCATGCCCTGGCGTGTTCCTCGCGGCTATGTGTTATCGGAGTGGCGCCCTTTTTGTTATTCAGTGAGCCCGCGACGCCCCTTTCAGCGGGTCGCCCCCCGTCCTTCCCCCGTCTTTTGAACGGTACCGAATTCGGGTCGGGCGAAAGGGGGGGATTGGGAAAGGGGGGGTTACGAAATTTGCTGCATGCAGCTGGTTTCGGCCTCACCGAGGGGCCCATTCCTCGATACATGGCCGCCTCCGGCGCCGGGAGGCGCCGGGGAAATCAGCTACGCGAGCTGATTCTCAAACCCCCCCTTTGCTATCCCCCCCTTTCGCCCGACCCGACGAATGTACGGGGGGGGTTCGTGCGTGGCGCGATGGTTTCTTGGAATGCCATGGCGCTGGCTGACATGATGCTGTCTGGCGCTCGCAGGCGCCCGACGCCCGACCCTTTTCCCCCCAGCACGGACGCCGCGGGGGAAAACTGAAAGAACAGGATCCCGGACCCCCGACATCATGACTTTGCAGGGCCCGACCCCCGGAGGTCTGGACCCCAGAAGTTCTGAGAAAAAACGAAGCACCCCCCCGCCTGTCCTGCCCCGCCGCCCCGGCCAAAAACCAGAGGGAGGGGGGGGTCCGTCAGCGTGGCAGTGCGGGCCGCCGCAACTCTTATTCGGACCACTGGACCCACTCCCCAGGACCGGCGTTGCCTCCCGAGTCGTTGTTGGCCGGTCCCGAGGGCCGGTGAGGGGGCCCCCAGAGGCCGCAGATTGCGAGGAGCAAACATCCCGTAGTGATTTCGTCGTGACTCGAGGGGCCCGAGGGGGTCTGGGATCAAGGATGATGGGCTTGTTTGCCACCACCACCACCACCACCATAAGTTGGAGGGGGGAAGGAGGAGGAGGAGGAGGAGGAGGAGGAGGAGGAGGAAGTGGATGAGGAGCTCCGGGGGGGGCCTCCTTCCGCGGAGGTTGAAGCTCCTTGTCGCCGCGGCGTCATGGAGCCGCCTCGAAGACAAGAGGTCTCGGGCTGGACTTCCGTATGGCCTGCCCCTCTGCAGGAGGAGTAGTCAAAGATAGCCAAAACATAGTCTGGGGACGATTTGTTGTAGTATTTCTGTCTATGTTCCCGCATTTCTTATATTTCCAATCGTTCCTCCAAAATCCGCCAGTAGGGGGACATGCCCGACCGAAGGCCGGACCTCTCAGGGGGGATCTGTCGACGCCGAGCGAAGGGGGGGGAAGTGCATCGCCGACGTAAATCGGCGATGCATCGGCGACGTCGGCGACCCATCCGCGACGTCAGCGCGGTGAAAATCGGCCTCCACATCGAGCCTCATCGTCGATGCATCGTCGATGCGGCGTGATCCTCCGACCCTATCTACTCGGATTCCATCTAGGAGGCCTAGAGGACCTTAGCTCGGCGGCGAGCCCGTGGGGGAAGTGAGAAGGGGCGGGCCTTCTCAGAAGGCTCGAAAGTCCCCTGGCCTTCCGAGAAGCTTTCTGAGCCTTCCCCGAAGACGCAGAGAGCACCCCTCAGGAGGCACGACATGCTCTGAGAAGTCCCGCTGCCTTCGGAGGAGGCCTTCTCCGTCTCACTGCCCCCCATCGCTCGCCGCCTGCTCTGGGGACCGGCTGTGAGCGGATTTGGGCCGGGCGCGAGAGCCGCGCGATCCGATCGACCCGATTCGGTCTCGCTTCCGGGCCGCGAGGCCCGATGGGATGGGGCGTCGCGAGCGGATGCCGGCCTCTCCTGCCGCTGTCTCCGGGGTGGGAGCGAGGCCGGCCAGCGCCGTGGCGAGATGGGCTCTGCCACGGGATCCGATCTCGACCCCGATGCGCGGCGGCTCGCGGGCGATCCGATGCGATCCCACCCGATCCGATTTCGCGATTCGATCCCAGACCCCCTCGAGTCCTGAGAAAGTCACGCCGGGTGTTTTTTCGCTATTTCCAGTCTCTGGGGGCGCTTACCGGGCCTCGGGACCGTCAAAAGACGTCTCGGGATGAACAACTGGTCCCAGGGAATGAGTCCGGACCTCTGGGGGTCGCATCATGAAACAATCATGACGTCGGGGTCTGGGATCTGGCTCACTATGAGGAACATCCTCGAGGACTCGCACGGCGTGCAATAGCTGTGTCATCTATTCCACACGGCCTCTCCCCGAGACATGGGTCGACGTTCTGGTGGCGACGCTGTGACGTAAGTCCGACGTAAAGCCGACGCAATCCGACGTGAAGACGACGTGATCCCGACGTGCATCCGACGTCATGTTGGTCTCGGGCTGCCGCGCGAGGCCTCCAAGATCCTCCTCCCTGCCGTTGTCTCGACTGGCCCCCCGCTGCGAGGTCCGTGCCACGTCTGCGAGGTGCATTGTAGCTATGAGCAGTTAAGGTAAGTTCGATACCTACGTTAGCTACTTCGTGCCACACACAGGTTACGTAATCACTAAGCTACTTGGGTTGCAGATCGCAAGTCACTCAGGGAATCTGGATGAGCTGCTTCTAAGCATGTCTCAGTGTTTAGCTCTGATTGTTAAGAGGCCCACTCTTCCTCTTCGCCGCACTCCTTCCTTCGAGTCTGTGCGCCCTTGCCCCCCATGGAACATTTTATGTCGCAGCCCATGGATGGTGAAACCCATGGCGTAAGTCATGTCGCAACGCCCAGCGCAATCCATGGATGGCGCGGCCACGGCGCAACCCATGGGCGGGGCAACCCGTCGCTCAACTGATGTTGCTCTTGCACGGAGGTGTCCAGGCTGGCCTCGGAGGAGGCGGCCTCAGCTGCAGAGGAGCAGAAGTAGGCGGATGGATGGGAGGAGGAGCAGGAGGCGGAGGACGACGACGACGACGACGACAACGCCGCCGGTACCGATGCCGAAGAGCAGGCCGCCGGGGCCCACAGTGGTTGGCCCTATCGGTTCTACGGGCTTACGTCAGAGGCGACGATGAGGGCGAATAGCCCAGGGGAGAGCAATACATGTATCCAGGGGCGCCGATGACCTATGTCTTCGACAAGGCTCCAGGGCGAATGCGTGTAATGCCCGCCCCTGGGCTATTCGCCCTCATCGCCGCCGCCGATTACGCCCGATGTATGCTCGCCGTTTGGGCTGGCGCTGGGGCCAAGCGATGATCTGTCTTGTGACCATCGCTGCCCGCACCCGTAACAAGCTCCATCCGCGTGTACCACCACCTCATCCCACTCCCTTCACTCCGTCCGTCCTCCCTCCCCCCCCCCTGGTCCCTTCTCTTCGCTCCTTGCCCCCCTTCCCTCATCTCCTGCCCCGTTCCTCCATTCTCATGTCCCTTCCCCTCCCCCCTCCCTCCCCTCTCGTCCCCCGTCCCTCCCACTCCTGCTTTCCTCGCTCCTCCCTCCGTACTCCCCCTCCCGCCCAACGCCCTCCCTCCTTCCCTGTTACCTCCCTCGTTCTCGTTTTCTTCGTTATCCTCGTCCCCAGACCCCCGATGTCATGATTTTTTCATGACGCGACCCCCAGAGGTCTCGACACATTCCCCAGGACCGGTTTCTCGTCCGGAGTCGTTTTTTGACGGTCCCGAGGCCCGGTAAGGGCCCCCCAAAGCCGAGAATAGCGAAAAACCTCCCGTTGTGATTTTTCATGACTCAAGGGGGTCTGGGTCCCCCATCCCTTCCTCCCCCCCTCCACCCTTTCCCACTCTCACCCCCTCCATCTACGCCCGCCCTCCCTACTTTCCTCCTTCCCGCTCCTGCGTCGCTCTCCCAGCCCCCCCCCCTCGTTTGATGATGTTCCAACCTACTTCAGCCTTGACCACCAGAAAGAATTTCGAGCACCAGAAAAGTGTTCAAAAACTCAAGGGTTTGTTTTTGTTACGTGTCGGGCCCTGGGAGAAGCTCGCCCGACATTGTTTCGACGCTGTTTCGATATTCTTTCGAGACTTTCCTGGGTGCTCGATTTTTTTCTGTGATGTGGTCCTTAAGTACGATGGGAGCAACATAACCCCCTTCCATTCTCCAGTCTGCGTCGTCCTTCTCGTCGTGCATCCTCCCGTGACGGCGGTTGCTGGGTTGGGCAGTGAGGGGGAGGGGAGTGGGGGGAGGGGGTCGGGGGGTCAGCGCTCGGGAGGGTGGCGCGACTGTGCTCACTGTGATGCGGTCGCTTCGGGGAGGAGGGAAATCGTGAGGGTGGTTAGGATAAGGATTGCGAGGACGATGTCGAGGGTAACGAATGCAACCGCAAGAACACCATCATTGCTAATTTACAGGCTCGCGCTAAGTCGTCGAAAATGCGCACGTAGCACCCGCTGCTATAAGTGTTATATGCTGTTTTTGATTGGTATACTTTGTTGTCTTGTGGTATGTTTTCAGCACGCCGGAATACATACCATAATATAACAAAGCACGGAGCGAACGAGATGATCTATACATGTGTATTGTGTTGGACGTTAGTTGTATGGTGGTATAGGTGTTGATATATTTTCGGCGGGCGCAAAGGATTAACACATACATTCAACAACATATACCAACGCATGCCACTGGCTGTTACTCGCGCTACTTAGGCGACTTAGCGCGAGAACGTAACTTAACGATGTTGGCTTTAGTGCGGTCGTATTCGCTACCTATGCTCTTGCGATCGTACCGGCTGCCCCCGTCATCGTCCTCACAATTCCACGAAGCGATCGCATGAACGTGAACACAGGCGCCCCACCCCCTGGCCGCTGGCCCCCGACCCCCTCCCCCTACTGCCCTCCACCTCCTTGCCCGCCCCAGCGATCGTCACGAGAAGAATGACGAGAAGGACGAAGCAGAATGGAGAAGTGAAGGGGGATGGTGGCAGCAGGTTCGGCAACGAAGGGGGGGGATGGGAGATCGACGCAGGAGCGGGAAGGAGGGATGGAGTGCGGGCGGGCGAAGATGGTGGGGTTGCGAATAGGAAAGAGGGAAGGGGGAGTGATGGAGGCGAAGGATGACAAGGATAATGAGAGTGAGGGAGTGAACGGGGAAGGAGGGAGGGCGTTGGGAGGAAAGGGCGGAGCGAAGAGAAGGGACCAGGGAGGAGGTAGGGAGGACGGACGGAGTGAAGGGAGTGGGATGAGGTGGTGGTAAGGTCTGGTAAAGCTTGTTACGGGTGCGGGCAGCGATGGTCACAAGACAGATCATCGCTTGGTCCCAGCGCCAGCCCAAACGGCGAGCATAAATCAGGCATAAGCCCGTAGATCTGTGGGCCCCGTCGGACTGCTCCTCGGCATCGGTATCGTCGTCGTCGTCCTCCTCCTCCTCCGCCTCCACCGTCTCCCCTCCATCCTCCTGCCTCTGCTCCTCTGCAGCTGAGGCCGCCTCCTCCGAGGCCAACCTTGGTACTTCCGTGCAAAAGCAACATAAGGTGAGCAATGGGTTGCGCAATGGCCGCGCCATCCATGGGTTGCGCCATGCGTTGCGACATAGATGACGCCACGGATTGCGCCATCCGTGCGTTGCTACATAGAATGTTCCATGGGACTCGGGGCTGAACAGGGTCGGGCCAGACAGACGGGTTTCGAGGGAAGGTGGGGCCTGGCGAAATGCATTGTTCGGCCGATCGGGGTGTAAAGGGGTAGGGAGGAAGTTTACAGGCTACGTATAAGCCTTCCGAAGTACGGCTAAGTTACCAATGCGTCTGGTCTATTGACGTACCAGTACGTCTTTGTAACTTACCCGCTCGGTTAAACATTGTAAACACTCATCGGTAGCGCAACTACACTTACACCGCAAGCAGCATTTACAACGGTTACCGATCATTAAAACGACTTGCGGCACTTACCCCCCGTCTTAGAAGTAGGTTGCACCCAGCTATGCGGCATAGGGGGAAACACTTAGTGGACGCTCCCCCGCTCCCCGACACTCAAAGTTTGGACGCGCGGGGGAGACTGCGGTCGAAGTGCAACCCATCAGAGCCCCCGCCAACTTTGAGCATTGGGGGGAGGGGGAGGCGCTGACCGATGAATGTGGCATGCGCGTGTTCGCTATCTGTTTCCGAGGTCCGTGTCTAGGTTTATGATGTTCCAACCTACTTTAGCCTTGGTCACCAGAAATAATTTCGAGCACCAAGAATTTGTACCGAAACTTGAGGGTTTTCACGTGTCGGCCCCTGGGAGGCGATATTCGTTCGACGCCTTTTCGATACTTCCCTGGATGCTCGAAATTATTTCTGGGACGTGGTCCTCAAAACGGGCGCATCGAGGCAGCTGAGGCTCAGCTGCCTCGATGCGCCCGTCTTGAAATGCAACACGCACCGTGCTCAAAAAAAACGTCCGCGTCAATACGTTGCGTGGCGGCTCAGCGTATTGGCCCCCCTGTTTGGGCGAACGCATCGCGCCACACGTACGCTTTCGCTGCACGCGCTGTGGGAGCCACACACGTCCGGGTTGCAAGCAGCACGAGCTGACGGGCTCGGTTTCCACCACCACCACCATAGGTTGGAGGGGGAGGGGATCCTCTTTCTCCTCCTCCTCCTCCTCTTCTTCGTCGTCCTCCTCCTCGTCCTCCTCCTTCCCCCCTCCAGCTTATGGTGGTGGTGGTGGAAAACGCGCCCATCACGAGCGGCACCGACCTCCGCCCGAGGTGAAGCGCGCAGCCGCCCCGCGCCGGAGCGCGCGCCGCGCCTCGCCCGCGTGGGCCGGCTGGGGCCGTCGGCGGCCGCGCGGCGTCGCGGCGCGGCGGGCGCCGCGGCGCGCAGCGCAGATCGGGCGGCGAGCTCTGCCCGGACGTGCCCGCGTCGTGAGAACACCTCGGCGGCGAGCCAAGGCCTTGGCCTTGGCCTTGGCCTTGGCCCAGGCCATGGCCAAGAGGCCAAGGCTTAGGCGACCCGTCCTCCTCCTCCTCCTCCTCCTCCTCGTCCTCCTCCTCCTCCTCCTCGGGGTCTCCTTGTATCCCTGGGTCGTAAGCCCTCGTCGTCGGTCTCTGCTGATTGAGAGTTGTGCTTCTCTCCTTTTCCATCGCTCTGCTCCGTCCGTCACCCGAACTCGGCGCGCTCTTCTATCTGGGTCCGTCCTCTTCCTCCTCCTCCCCCTCCTTCTCTTCCTCCTCCTCCTCCTCCTCCTCCTCCTCCTCCTCCTCCTCGGGTCGCCTACGGCCCCGGGGGAAACCGTGCACCCAGGCCCCCTCGAATCATGAAGAAATCACACCGGAAGGTGTTTCGAGATTTTCGGCCTCTGGAAGCCCTCACCAGGCCTCGGGAGCAGTTACCAAAAGACTCGGGGTGAAAGACTGGTTCCGGGGAATGGGGCTGGACCTCGGGGGGTCGCGTCATGAAACAATCTTGGCGTCGGGGGTCTGGGGAGGGGGGGGGAAGTGAGAGGGGTGGCGGCGGGGCTTTCCAGAGGCCCCCGCGCCCTGCGAGAAGTGGTTTGCGTCTTCGGGGAAGGCTTCGGAACACTTCACCGAAGCCCGGAGGCCTTCCAAGCCTGCGGAGGAGGCCCGCCCCGTCTCAGTCCCCCCCACAGGCTCGCTGCCTGCATGCTCGCGTCGGTAACAAAACTCATGACGGGAGGTTTTTGGCCGTTTTGGGCCTTAGGAGCATAGGCCTACATGGGGGCTAGGTTTAGAGAGGGGATAGGCTTATGGGGGATAGGGGAATAGGCTTAGGGGGACTAGGTTCGAGGCTCGAGGCTTCCAGGTGTTGGTCCCTGTGATCCGACGTTGCAAAACAAATGCAGCATCACAAACAATCACGATCGAAGCCCCAGACCCATTTGTTCTGCGCCACTTTTTCAGCCAGAGCGATCTGTGAGGATGCCCCGGCCCGAAATTGCAACGCCAGGATCTCAGGGTCGAACGCTTGAGGAGGAGGAGGGGGAGGAGGAGGAGGAGGAG